CCAGGGCAGGATCAAGGCACGGGGGGCTTCAGGGGCGGGAGCCTAGGGGGCCTCCGCCAGCTGGAGGGCCTCCAGAGATGAAGTGAGACGTCATTTCATTTGTGAATTCTAAATTGTATTTGTTGTTAGCCTTGTAAAAATGAATTGTGTTTTTCCTTAACTTTGTTTTCCTTTTGAACATATTACTGGGGGCCTCACAGTACCTTTAACCCCGGGGCCTACACAATCTTAATCCGGCCCTGGTGCTACACCCATCTCCCCCCCCCCTCCCAGGACGGGAGGGATGAGCAGTGGTGACACACTCCTTCGTGACAGCAAGAAGCGCAGCGGTTCGACTCGCGTGGGTCTGTGTGGAGTCTGTACCTTCTCCCCCTGTTCGGCATGGGTTCCCTCCGGGGTCTCCGGTTCCCCATAGCCTAACCCAGCCAAACATCCCAATGTAGTTGGAGCCTCCTGAAAAAGGAGTCTCGTGTTGACCGTGAGCGAGAATCGAACTCTCCCACGCTTCGTAGACAAAGATCGCCATCGTAGCCTTAGACTTTCTGGGGCAAGTGCTATTAGCGAGTAGCACCTATGATGATAATAGGGTTTTCCCCTTTTTTTCTGGCATCAAGACAGGTGTTAGGATTTTGATTTAAAGCTTTCGTCACTGCAGGGATTCATATTCTTGGTTATTTCGGTAAAGTCACGTAGAAGGGAAACAATAAAATAATAAAAATATAAAACAATAAAATTCTCACGACGTTTCGACTGCAACACAAGCAATCATCATCAGGTTTGAAAACCACAGCAAGAAAGTTTGAAAAAAAAGATGATGATTGCTTGTGTTGCAGTCGAAACGTCGTGATAATTGTATTGTTTAATATTTTTATTATTTTATTGTTTCCCTTCTGCGTGACTTTACCGAAAGAGCCAAGAATAGGTGTTAAGATGTCAAAACACCAAACTGAAACCTTTTACAAGGAATGATGTCTGCATTAACCACAATGCTTGTGGTCAGAATGCAAATAAAAAACATACTCTGACAAAATATGCATTTTCTTAGTTTTTTCGGTAAAGTCACGTTGAAGAGAAACAACAAAATAACAAAATATATATAAAACAATAAAAAAAAATTCTCACGACGTTTCGACCATAACTCAAACGGTCATCATCACACCTCATCACACCTGATGATGACCGTTTGAGTTATGGTCGAAACGTCGTGAGAATTTTTTTTTTATTGTTTTATATATATTTTGTTATTTTGTTGTTTCTCTTCAACGTGACTTTACCGAAAAAACTAAGAATATGAATTACTGCAGTCACGAAAGCTTTAAATAAAAAAAAATATGCATTGTCCTTGAAACTGATTTGTCCACACCAGAAACAGCTTTCTTTGGAGCCTCGTCTCAAAACGGTGTTAGACCAGCGGACGTCAAAAGGCACCTATGATGGCTGACACGGTACACGAGGAGGTCGGTGACCAGCACCGCGTCCGACCGCCTTTGTCTCCCAGTGGCGATGTTTACACACCGCACCCATTTGATGGTGATAGAGTGCTCTGCATGATTTGAATCCTGTGGTACAAACCACGTGGCAAAAATGTACCCCCATTCGGGGTCAGAATTCTACGGAGTTCGCGACCCTATGCTGACCCGCTTATACAGGGACATCTATGAAAAAAATCTTCATGGCTCATCGGATACCTCCTACAGTCTAAATAAAGATTCTGATTCTGATGCCACACGGGCTGGCCGACTCCTTCATAGATTCGCGGCTCTCGCGTTAGGGCTCTCAGATAAACTATCGACTCAACCAGCCCGCAGTGACGTAACGCGCTAATGGGATTCTTAATGAGTGTGGGGGGTATAGGATCGAGATGCAGGGAAAGGTCAGTGGATAATTAGAGCGGTTCTCACAACGCTGAATGGGAGAGCGGGGAGGGCGGGGGAGTGGGGAAAGACATCTGAGTGTCATTCCCACACACACAACAACAACCGCCTTTCGACACGAAGTGATGACGTCGCTTCGGCGCTTGTGCCAGGCTACGTGCACTTTAAGGTCACGTGAAATGTCGAAGGCTCGCTGGCAGGTCACGGGAAAGAGCCAGGTTCGCTTGGTTGTCTTCCTGAGACGGCTGGCAGATGCACCGCCTCTACCACCTGTTGTGCCAACTTCCAGTATTTTAGCCGATCAGTGGTCCGCTCGTTGTTGTGAGCGTCGCTCCTCCGCCCTCTGTTGTTGTTGGAGGGCGACTGCCTCCAACTGCCCAGTAGCAGCGTCCTTCACGAGCCTCCTCCACAGTGGCCGATCTTGACACCGCTGGTACCAGTCATCGGCAAGTCCACTCAGCTCCACGTCCTCCTGTACCACATCACTCCATCTCATCTCTTGCCCGTGCCGCGCCCATTTAGCCCCCTCGATCCGGCCAAACAGAAGCTGCTTGGGCACGCGGTGGCTGGGCATGCGGGCTACATGACCCAGCCAACGCAGCCTTGCCTGCCGGAGGAGTTTCACACACACACAAAGACAAAGATCCCCCGTAATAGCCTCAACAGACTGTTGGGACAAGTGCTGTTAGCGAGCAGCACCTATGAAGGCCGGCACGGCACACGAGGGGGGGGGGGGGGGGGGGTGGCCAGCACCACGCCAGGCCGCCTTTGTCTCCCTCGTGGCGATGTTTACACACCGCACACAAGGTACTCATTTCAGTTCGAGTCGACCTGGGGGAGGCCCAGGACCGGTTCAGAAATTCCTCATGCACGTTGGTGGTGAGCGAGAATGGAACTCGCCGGGTTTCGTAGGGCAGTGGGATAACCACTGCACCACCGCTTCCCAGTGCACTCACACGCGTCGCTTTGTCCGTAACGTTCAGCCTGAATGCCGCCCTCCCTCCCTCCCTCACAGCGGAGGATAGCGCTCATCCTGGGGTGCGAGGTGACGGCCAGAGCACCCTTGCCTATTGGCGGGCAACGCGGGGCAATAGCGGCCTCTAGTGGACGCGGCGCGGCGCGGCGCTCGGTCAGTCGCCGCGTTCCAACGGCAATGAGCAAACCAAACCCGGGGACGTGGCCAGGATGCAGAATCAGAGTTCGAATGTTTATTCATCCGCGAGGAACCCGATGAGCTCGAAAGATATTTTTCACAGATGTTCAGTACGGGCAGGTCAAACTGGTACAGCGACAAACAAAGCAAACAACTTGATAGGAGTTGCAAAGCATAGGAACGGCATTAAGGACGTAGCCATGGATTCAACTTTGGGGGGGGGGGGCTAAATCTTCCAGGGGGTCTGGGGGTCCCCCCCCCCCCCCCAGAAAAATAACTAAATTTGAAAAACGAATTTCCTGCCATTTCCTGCCTAAATTATAAAAAAATCACTACCACATTGGATGGACTTTTTATTTATTTTTTACAATAATATCTCAAAGTGTATTGTATAACATTGCTCTGTTTTACCTGATCTTGTTTCATTGTATGTAATTGCAGAGATTAAGGATTAATAAAGTACAACCATAACCACAATCATATAAACAGAAATCTATTTTATAGCAATATATTGGTGGGGGGGGGCATTTGGAGCATATTTGAATATTGGGAGAAGATGTGTCCCCCCCCCCCCAATATATATTATAATTACGGCCTTGATGGAATCACTTAAAAACTTTTTACAAATAATAATTAAAAATGTTGATCTCACCAAGGAAAGCCCACAGATATTAGATCCTTTTTCAGGAGCGACCTGGCCACAAATGATAGCTCAACGAAGCGGCTTATCACGTCGAAATGTACAGCAGCAAAATGCTCTCAACAATCTTGGACGCATGTTTCATCCAGCAGTGGACAGACAATGCCTTTCTTTTGCTGCTGCTGATTTTGCACTGGTTACCGACCCGTGTGTTTTTTCGGGGAATCAAACATGGCACTGAGTAAATGCACAACTCACTGGGCAGCGCGTTTCGGCCAGGAGATGGCAGCATGGCTGTTGGATTGAATCCATCTGTGTGGAGTTCAGTGTCGCCCCTGTTAGTGTAGAGCGGCGCGGTGCTGGGTTATTTTCCGTGGCTCTCCGGGCTCCTACGCGACGCCAAACTCTCTGTCGAGAACGAAACTCGCGGCCAAACCTCCCAATGTAACAGCACCCTCCCAACATACGATTCTTGAGACTCGGCGAGGCTCTCCTGAGCAATTATGCACATTCCAGGCGATGGGTGGTGGCCAGCATCACGCTCAGCAGCCTTTGTCTCCTTAGCGGCGATACCGACAAATAGTCCCAGATACCCATTTAAGATTGAATCGACCGACGGGAGGAGGCCCAGGACCGGTGCAGATAATCTCCATGGCTCTTGGCAGCCGTGAGAGGGAATCCAACTCAGGTGGCCGGGTTCGTAGCGCAAGGTGCTAACCGCTGCACCACCGCTCGCCCAGCACGATAACCATTGCCCCCCCCTTCCCTCCCCAAAAAGATAAAGATTATAAAAGTCTAGATTTATACTCTTTGGTTCTTTCGGTAAAGTCACGTAGGTATAAAATAAAAAGAAATCACGACGTTTCGATCGCAACGCAAGCGGTCGTCCTCAGGCGGAAAAAAATATAATCCAGCAGTGGATAAAATATAATCCAGCAGTGGATAAAATATAATCCAGCAGTGGATAAAATATACTGCTTCCACAGTGGAACTGCTTCCACTGCTGGATTCTATTTTTTCCGCTTGTGTTGCGATTCATTTTATTTTTCTACCTACGTGACTTTGCCGACAGAACCAAAGAGTATGGATGGATTCCTGCAGTCACGAAAGCTTCAAATGAAGTCTCTCTAGATTTAGTTTTAATGCTCGACTCATGATGCCCTAAAGGGGCTGAGCTAACTTGGTAGCGGGCGAGGCTACCCCAAACAGTGGGCGGGCCCAATAAGCAGTAGGATGCGTGTCAAGGAGGAGGAAGACGAGGGGGGAGGTAGGGAGGGAAGAGGAGGGGGCGAGGGAGGCAGGTGGAGGAGGAGGAGGGTGTAGCAGCGAGGCGGAGCCACGCAGTTAAGAGCTCTTAACCTCACCCTCCCTCCACTCACTCTCACCCCGTGACTGGCCCACGATGGACACCTTCTCGCTCGCCATCATCGCGATTCTTCTGAGCTCCTCCGCGCACCCCGGTGAGTGACTCCGCACGGCCCGAGGCGGAGTGGCGGGGCCACGGGTTGATGTGCATTGCGCCACGAACCCCTCAAACGACTGGAGCTCTCATTCCCAGCCGAGGACACGAGAGCCAATATCGGTGGCGAGTGATAGCTGACGCCGGGTCGGCTCCTGCCCCCCTCACCCCCCCCCCCCGCTTCTACCACCACCCTCGCCCCAACTTCACCAACCAGCATGGTGAAGTATGGTCGATCAGCATTGACAAAACGGGCTCGCGAAGTCGACGACTCTGGGCTCCTCCGCCACGAGACGTTGGTGAACTTTGCCATCAGTACGGGGGGGGGGGGGGCGGGCAGGGAAGCGAATGGGTTGGTAATCTCCGTGTCTCTGCCTGCTCCCCTTCTCTCCGTGCCCCCCCCCCCCACCACCCACAGTTGTCTCCGATTGCTCTGAGTACCCACCGGATAGTACGGCGGCGAGTGCGGTGACTAAAAGCACGGCGTTGCTCAACGCGCCCCTGAAAATTCGTCCCGGCTGCTCCGTGACCCAGGTGTGTTGGGCGGGGTGGGGGGGTGGGGGGGGCTGAACGGGTGGACCGGCAGGCACTAGAGAAGCGGCCGTGTAGCGCGACTTTTTCCGCCGTGGCTGGTCTAACCAGCTCTACAAATACAGAGAGCTTCGTCTACCAGTGGATCGAACACGGTTCACGATCATGAAACCCCCCCTACCCAAAACCCTCCGATTAGCACGGTTGGCTACGTACGGTGCAAAAAATAAGTTCAACCATCGCAGGTGGGAATTGCTTCTCGAGATAAAATAATGGCCGTTATCCCGAAACGTCATATTACATTTTCAATCCTCTGTATTACGTTCCATCTACGGAGTAAAGCCTCAATCGAGTCTCGTGGGTCTTTCGTCAAGACGGTCTCGCTAGGTTTTCCACAGTAGGGGGCGATGATAATTATTGCTGCTGCCGAGTGTGACCCCGATCGAGTTAATTCTGTGAGGTTTAGGTGGGGAGGCCTTCATCCATCAGTGGATAAATTACGGCCGATGAAGATACCATATCCATTGTCTTTTGTTCGGGGAAATTCTGCTTTATTAGTCGGGGGGTGGGTAGAGCGGGGATGACCGAATGACCTACGTCATGCCGGTAACGGATGACGACGTCACAATCGTGGTACCGCAGTGATCGAAATCTGTCTTCTTTACGCACGTGGCTCTGTTGCACTCATGGGCCAGATGACTCCACCTCTTTCTATCCCCGTCCTGATCCCGGGTCGCCTTCAATAACCGCCCTCAGTACACGAATCCTGCTGTATATCCCCGATGTTTCGCTCTCCCAGGTATTTTGCCTATGTTATTTATTAGGATAGGGCTGTAGGGGATAGGGTGTGTGGAGTGTGGGATTTGAGGGCGGGGGGGGGGGGGGTAGGTGGAGGTGTCGCGGTGAGCGGTAGTGTAGCGGTTAGCGCGCTGCGCTACGAACCCGGCGACCCGAGTTCGATTCCCGCTCACGGCCAACACCGGTGACGGTTATCTGAAGCAGTCCGGGGCCTCGCCTAGGTCGACTGAGCCTCTAAATGAGTACCTGGTGCGGTGTGTGGTAAACATCGCCACTGGGGAGATAAAGGCGACCGTACCTGGTGCTGGCCACCCACCACCTCGTGTGCCGTATCGGCCTTAATAGGTGCTCGCTAACAGCACTTGCCTCAACAGTCTGTTATTGCGTAGGGGCGGCCTTTGTCTTTGTTTAGGTATCACAAGAGCAGCCAAAAAGGGACGTGAAACCAGGCAGGCTCTGGAGCTGCGCGCCCTAGGCGTGGATGTTCCCCCGGATGTGGAACTCCACTTATCGGCTGCGATGTTTTCCCGCTTCACCATCACCACCGCCATAATCTTATGTCAGCCGTGATCTATCCACTGCTGGATGAAGGCTTCCCCGAGCCAACACTGGTGGCGACACGAGGCTATAAAGGAGGCCGTAGCTCTGGTGTAGGCCGATCAATTCCAAATACAACGCGCGCATGATTATCAAAGCACGGTTGTTTGCATTGCCTTTGCACCGTTCGTCTTTTGGCGTTCTCTGGTCTAAGACTGGTGAGACAAGGCCTTAAAGGAGGTTTAGTAGTCATAGGTTTTTACCCTTTAACCTGGCAACAAAGCTGACACCTTTATACAAGGGATCATGTTTGCATTAACCACAACAGTTGCGGTCAAATTGCAAACAAAAAGACAACTCTGATCATGTATTGGCACTGTCCTTGAAATCGATTGGTCCACACCCGAGATAGCTTTTCTTAGAGCCTAGTCGCACATGGTGTTGGACCAGATGACGCCAAAAAGCGCACGTTGTTTCTTTGGTGTAGGCCAGTCAGTGTCAAGGAAAATGCATACATTTTCAATGCATAATAAAGGTTTTTTTGGACAGGATCGCATAAATATAAATGTGTCGTAAAAGTAATTTTCGAAGCATGTTTGTTTCAATGTTTTACCACAAAGCATGATGTGTGGTGAATGCAGACTTGATGATGCCCTACAATAGGTGTCTATTTGGTGTTTGAACATCTTGACACCTGGATGATTGCTGCAAAGGGTAAAGCCCATTATTTTTTTCATTATTTTGATACCAGAAAAAAGGGTCCCATAGATATCCTCCTATTCAAAGAGAAATGAATAAGTTCCACGCAGGAACGCGCCTGATAGTTCTGAAACACGTATCGCATGACGCGCTAAGCAATACATGTTGTCTGCATTAGCAGAGCCAATTCCAAATTAAGATCTCAGTGTGCGTGAGTACACGTGCTTCATCTGTGCTTGCACACGTCTTCCGTGTGTGCGTGTACACGTGTTCCACGTGTGAGCACGTCTTCCGTGTGTGCGTGAACACGTGTTCCGTGTGTGCATGAACGTGTTCCCTGTGTATACACGTGTTCCCTGTGTGTGTATACACGTGATCCACGTCACGCACAAAGCGTTCATTGCTTAGCGCATCACGTGGGAGCTGTTTCACAATCATCGGACGCGGGTGGTGGTGTGGGTGGGGTGGGCGGTAGTGTAGCGGTGAGCGCGCCGTGCTACGTGCCTGGCGACCCGAGGCCGATTCCCGCTCGCGGCCAACACCAGTGACGATTATCTGAACCGGCCCTGGGCCTCCCCTAGGTCTACTCAGCCTCGAATGAGTACTTGGCGCAGTGTGTAAACATCGCCACTGGCCGGGCGTGGTGCTGGCCACCCACCCCCTCGTGTGCCACAGTGCCGGCCTTGATAGGTGCTGCTCGCCAACAGCACTTGCCCCAAAAGTCTGTTAAGGCTATGCGGGGGAATCTTTGCCTTTGGTGGGGTGGGGGCGGGGGGCCCGCGAAAACTAAAGTCTGGGACATGCCGCATTAACAATCCCCTTCAAGGTTGTCACTTCTCGTGCAGAAGACTTTGAGAGGGCGTCCCACTGAGAGGAGAAGGGCTGTCTCCTGCCCCCCCCCCCCCCCCCCGCTAGGTGCAATGGCTCAAGGGCCAAACGATCGTGGCGATGCTCAAGTCTGGGGTCGTGACCCAGGTCAATCCGCGCCTGAGCAGCCAACACATAATCTTATCCAGCAGTGGATTGTCCATGCTCATCTCGCCAGTGGAAATGACGGACGGGGGCAGCTACCACTGCTTGGTCAAGATGAATGACCAAGCGCTGAACAATTTCACGGTGATGCTAACCGTGAATGCAGGTCAGAGGGCAGGGAGATATCATTAGTACCATCAGGACCACCATCGCTGTCTTTTCAAATACCTTACACACATCTTTAAATTTCTCCATGGCCTTTCCCCACCTCATCTCGCCTCTCTCATCTCTTGTCACGTGCCCTCTCGTCCTCTTCGTTCCCAATATGCTCTCCTTGTGCCCAATTCCGTTTGAGATCTGTCTCCCTCCTTGCACGCTCCACTTGAATCAACGCCTGTGCATTTAAGCAGCACTGCCCATAGACTCAGCACTGCCTAAAACACTCAATATTGCCAATATACTCAACACTTCCCATAGACTCAGCACTGCCTATAGACTCAATACTGCTCATAAAATCAATACTGCCCATAGACTCAACACTGCCCATAGACTCAACACTGCTCATAAAATCAACACTGCTCATAGACTCAGCACTGCCCATAGACTCAACACCGCCCATAGACTCAACACTGCCCATAGACTCAACACTGTCCATAGACTCAACACTGCCCATAGACTCAACACTGCTCATAGACTCAGCACTGCCCATAGACTCAACACCGCCCATAGACTCAGCACTGCCCATAGACTCAGCACTGCCTATAGACTCAACACTGCCCATAGACTCAACACTACCTATAGACTCAACACTGCCCATAGACTCAACACTACCCATAGACTCAGCACTGCCTATAGACTCAACACTGCTCATAAACTCCACACTGCCCATAAACTCAACACTGCCCATGGACTCAACACAGCCCCTATATATGAAGCAGTCTACCTCATTAACCTCATTCTGTTCCTCTCTTAAAGCCTTACCACTTCTTCACGACCGCACATTCCATTCCTCTTCCCTCCCCTCGCCCCTCCATTCCGTTCCGTCCCTCCCCTGCCCTTCCGTGACCCCACTGTGCCCTCTGTTACAGTCATTCATTGCTCGGCTCTTGTCATCTAAATCGCTCGATTCTTTTTTTTTACTTTACCACTTTTAAACTGCGTAAAGCGCCCCGAGGTTACGGTGCTCTATGAACATAACATAAGTTCGTCATTGCCATCATCATCATCATGTACACATGTTGAACTTCTTTCGCACCATACGTAGCCAACCGTGCTACCTATTACCATCAATACATCGTCAGTGTATTTCTTCCACCGTCATTAAATATTTAGTACAATAATGGATTCATAGACATCATCGTCATCATCATTGTGTTTCATCAGCACGTGGCTGCCTGTGATCCACCACTGTGTGTGGAGGCAGCAGGGCAGGTTCGCTGGACCACACACAGATGTTGTTGTAAAACTCCCTTCCCGTGGACGTCGAGAAGGTAGCACGCCAGGAGACGGCAGTACAGCAACAATGTGGATCCCACCCATTTCGGTGTCCTCCCACATCGAGGCACTCGTTAATACGCTGAAAAATATAGTCATTTATAGAGGACCGCAGAGCTTGGGCAATTGTTGGTAGCGTCGACTCATCCATTGGCTGGCTGGCTGCTGCTGCTGCTGCTGCTGACTTCCGGTTCATCTGTGGTCCCTCCTCCTGAGTCGTCCTCTCTTTCTCTTGACTAGAACGAGGAGCGGATGCTTGTGCGGTGGCAGCGCGTTGCAAATTGAAAGTTGATATCATACACGCACACAGGCACTCGTCATTGTATTCCCATAATCATCATTGTTCTTTGAGCATCATCATCATCATCATACTCTTTGGTCCTTTCGGTAAAGTCACGTAGATGCAAAAATTAACTCGTAGATCGCGACGTTTCGATCGCAACGCGAGCAATCGTCTTCAGGTGAAACAACACAGCAGGCGGACTGCTGAGGCAGGAACAAATGCAGCGAGAGAGCTCCTGCAACCAAAGGTTAAATACGTTTGGGGTGGATACAACCCAAGGGTAAGTGGGCGGGGCTCGGGATGGAAGTAGCAAATAAATGTAGAATCTCAGAGCTCGCATACCTCGGCTAATCCGAGGGGGGGAGGGGAGGGGAGGGGGAGTGGCTGCCGTAATGGTCACCATAGTTATATTCTTAGTTCTTTCGGTAAAGTCACGTTGAAGGGAAACAACAAAATAATAAAATATATATAAAACAATAAAAATTCTCACGACCTTTCGACCATAACACAAACGGTCGTTTGTGTTATGGTCGAAACGACCGTTTGTGTTATGGTCGAAACGACCGTTTGTGTTATGGTCGAAACGTCGTGAGAATTTTTATTGTTTTATATATATTTTATTATTTTATTGTTTCCCTTCAACGTGACTTTACCGAAAGAACTAAGAATATGAATTACTGCAGTCACGAAAGCTTTAAGTCACCATAGTTCTCAATATTTTTTATTTAAAGCTTTCGTGACTGCAGTGATTCATATTTTTGGTTCTTTCGGTAAGTCACGTAGAAGGGAAACAATACAATGATAAAAATGTCAAACAATAAAATTATCACGACGTTTCGACTGCAACACAAGCAATCATCATCAGGTGTGAAAACCACAGCAAGAAAGTTTGAAAAAAAAAGATGATAATTGCTTGTGTTGCATTCGAAACGTCGTGAGAATTTTATTGTGTTATATATATTATTATTGTATTGTTTCCCATCAATGTGACTTTACCGAAAGAACCATGAGACGTGGGGTATGGTATACAACACACCAGCACACAGATGAGTCGCTCGGTTAAAGCTCTCTCCTGACCTCTGCAAGGTGTCAAGCGGGGCCAATTGTGAAGGTCAAAGAGGTCAGAACGGATCCGACTCTCAGTCGCCGACTTGCAGCATGCGTGGTGGTTCAACATCACTCAGACCTACCGAGTCATCATCATCATTATCACTTTATAGTCTTTCGGTAAAGTCACGTAGGTATAAAATGAAATCAGTCACGACGTTTCAGGCGCAACACAAGCGTGTGTTGCGCCCGAAACGTCGTGATTTATTTTATTTTATTTTGTCTACTTACGTGACTTTACCGAAAGAACCAAAGAGTATGGATTGCTGCAGTCACGAAAGCTTCAACATCATCACTGTCCCCTGCCTCGTGCCAATACGCTCAAGTCGTGTGCAACATCTTTCTGGGAACCAATCTCTCACGTGCTCGTCCAGCCATTCTATGTTCGGTCTTCCTCTCTTTAAATGTTCCATTCATTTTTTTTCAAACATCAACACACATGCGGGGGGGATATCCGCAGGCGTCCTGCGAGCACGCCCTGGTGCCTGGACTCGAACCCAGGCTCTCAGCGATGCTGGCTCAGCGTGTCTGACTTCGTTTTCCCCTCGCCCCTCTCCACTCCCACCCCCCACCCCCCCCCCCCAAAAAAAAAAAACACGACAGAGGCCACGTGCACGAATGCGTTATTCGCACCGCTGGTAGTGAATGTCAAAGTCGGGGGCTCTGTGACGTTGCCTTGTAACGTCGCCGCGATGTCAGAATGCGTTGTCAAGGAGGTAGGTGGCGCTTTCCCTCCCGCTCTCTCGAACTCACAACACAGACACAGAGAGAGAGGACGACTCAGAGAGAGAGAGAGGACGACTCAGAGAGAGAGGACGACTCAGAGAGAGAGAGAGGACGACTCAGAGAGAGAGGACGACTCAGAGAGAGAGGACGACTCAGAGAAAGAGGGCGACTCAAAGAGAGAAAGGACGACTCAGAGAGAGGACGACTCAGAGACAGAGAGGACGACTCAGAGAGAGGACGACTCAGAGAGAGAGGACGACTCAGAGAGAGAGAGGGGGGGGGGGGACGACTCAGAGGCGCATGGAGGAGGAACAACAGACGAGCGGGGAGGCAGCAGCAGCATCCGTGCGGTGTTTCCGGCCGACGTGCACGTCCCCTTCTTGATTGGGAAATTAAAGCCACAAGCCACCATGGCCATGTAACACAGACTATGTACCATACAGTAAACCCACAGAGACCCATAGAGATACACAGGGACCCATAGAGACCCACAGGGACCCATAGAGACCCACAGAGATACACAGGGACCCCATAGAGACCCACAGAGATACACAGGGACCCCATAAAGACCCACAGAGATAGACAGGGACCCATAGAGACCCATAGAGATACACAGGGCCCCATAGAGACCCACAGAGAAACATAGAGACCCACAGAGATGCACAGAGACACATAGAAATACATGAAAGACACAGTCCACTGAAGTGCGATTGAGGCCATGCAACACAGACTATGGACCATATAGTAAACCCACAGAGACCCATAGAGATACACAGGGACCCATAGAGACCCACAGAGATACACAGGGACCCCATAGAGACCCACAGAGACACACAGAGACCCATAGAGATACACAGGGACCCGTAGAGACCCACAGAGATACACAGGAACCCCATAGAGACCCACAGAGACACATAGAGACCCATAGAGATACACAGGGACCCATAGAGACCCACAGAGACACATAGAGACCCATAGAGATACACAGGGACCCATAGAGACCCACAGAGACACATAGAGACCCATAGAGACACACAGAGACCCATAGAGATACACAGGGACCCGTAGAGACCCACAGAGATACACAGGGACCCCATAGAGACCCACAGAGACATATAGAGACCCATAGAGATACACAGGGACCCATAGAGACCCACAGAGACACATAGAGACCCATAGAGACACATAGAGACCCATAGAGATACACAGGGACCCATAGAGACCCACAGAGACACATAGAGACCCATAGAGACCCACAGATATACATAGAGACCCACAGAGATACATAGAGACCCATAGAGACCCACAGAGACACATAGGGACCCATAGAGACCCACAGAGATACATAGAGACCCACAGAGATACATAGAGACCCATAGAGACCCACAGAGATACATAGAGACCCACGGAGATGCACAGAGACCCATAGAGACCCACAGAGACACATAGAGACCCACAGAGATGCACAGAGACCCATAGAGACCCATAGAGATACATAGAGACCCACAGAGAAGCATAGAGACCCACAGGGATACACAGAGACACTTAGAAATACATGAAAGACACAGTCCACTGAAGTGTAATTGAGGCCATGCAACACAGACTACGGACCATACAGTAAACCCACAGAGACCCATAGAGATACACAGGGACCCATAGAGACCCACAGAGATGCACAGAGACCCATAGAGACCCACAGAGACACATAGAGACCCACAGAGATACACAGAGACCCATAGAGACCCACAGAGACACATAGAGACCCACAGAGATACACAGAGACCCATAGAGACCCACAGGGACACATAGAGATCAACAGAGATGCACAGAGACACTTAGAAATACATGAAAAACACAGTCCACTGAAGTGTGATTGAGGCCATGCCACACAGACTACGGACCGTACAGTAAACCCATAGAGACCCATAGAGATACACAGGGACTCCATAGAGACCCACAGAGATCCACAGGGACCCATAGAGACCCACAGAGATACACAGAGACACTTAGAAATACATGAAAGACACGCCACTGAAGTGCGATTGAGGCCATGCAACACAGACTACGGACCATTCAGTAAACCCATAGAGACCCATAGAGATACACAGAGACAAATAGAGACCCACAGAGATACATAGGTCCCCATAGAAACCCACAGAGACACATAGAGACCCACAGAGATCCACAGGGACCCATAGAGACCCATAGAGATACACAGAGACCCATAGAGATACACAGGGACCCATAGAGACCCATAGAGATACACAGAGACGCATAGAGATACACAGGGAACCATAGAGACCCATAGAGACCCACAGAGACCCACAGAGACACATAGAGACCCACAGAGATGCACAGAGACACTTAGAAATACATGAAAGACACGCCACTGAAGTGCGATTGAGGCCATGCAACACAGACTACGGACCATACAGTAAACCCACTACCTCTCTGCTCCATAATAAAGGGTTTTTTGGGGGGTTGCAGCGTGTAAACATAAATGTGTTGTGAACCCGCCACCACCCGACACGGCCAATTAGTAAAGGTTTGTCACGTGAACAAAACGTAGCCAATTAGTTACTACTGTGTTGGAGAGTAAAACCCAGACGCATAAACACATTCGATGATGACGGCGATTATGACGATGTTGATGACGGTGATGACGGTGACGACGGCGACGATGACGTCCCGCACCTCCGATTAGCACGGTCGCAACGCACGTACAACACACGTACAACACACCTACAACGCACGTACAACGCACGTACAACACACGTACAACACACCTACAACGCACGTACAACGCACGTACAACACACGTACAACACACCTACAACGCACGTACAACGCACGTACAACACACGTACAACACACCTACAACGCACGTACAACGCACGTACAACACACGTACAACGCACGTACAACACACGTACAACGCACGTACAACACACGTACAACACACGTACAACACACGTACAACACACGTGCAACGCACGTACAACACACGAACAACACACGTACAACACACGTACAACACACGAACAACGCACGTACAACACACGTACAACACACCTACAACGCACGTACAACGCACGTACAACACACGTACAACACACCTACAACGCACGTACAACGCACGTACAACACACGTACAACACACCTACAACGCACGTACAACGCACGTACAACACACGTACAACACACCTACAACGCACGTACAACGCACGTACAACACACGTACAACACACCTACAACGCACGTACAACGCACGTACAACACACGTACAACGCACGTACAACACACGTACAACGCACGTACAACACACGTACAACACACGTACAACACACGTACAACACACGTGCAACGCACGTACAACACACGAACAACACACGTACAACACACGTACAACACACGAACAACGCACGTACAACACACGTACAACACACGTACAACACACGAACAACGCACGTACAACACACGTACAACACACTTACAACACACGTACAACACACGTACAACACACGAACAACACACGAACAACGCACGTACAACACACGAACAACACACGTACAACACACGTACAACGCACGTACAACACACAACACACTTACAACACACGTACAACGCACGTACAACACACGAACAACACACGTACAACACACGTACAACGCACGTACAACACACAACACACGTACAACACACGTACAACACACGAACAACACACGTACAACACACGAACAACGCACGTACAACGCACGTACAACACACGTACAACACACGTACAACACACGAACAACACACGAACAACACACGAACAACACACGTACAACGCACGTACAACGCACGTACAACACACGTACAACACACGAACAACACACGTACAACACACGTACAACACACGAACAACACACGTACAACACACGAACAACGCACGTACAACACACGTACAACACACGTACAACGCACGTACAACGCACGTACAATGCACGAACAACACACGAACAACACACGTACAACACACGTACAACACACGTGCAACGCACGTACAACACACGAACAACACACGTACAACACACATACAACACACGAACAACGCACGTACAACACACGTACAACACACGTACAACACACGAACAACGCACGTACAACACACGTACAACACACTTACAACACACGTACAACACACGTACAACACACGAACAACACACGAACAACGCACGTACAACACACGAACAACACACGTACAACACACGTACAACGCACGTACAACACACAACACACTTACAACACACGTACAACGCACGTACAACACACGAACAACACACGTACAACACACGTACAACGCACGTACAACACACAACACACGTACAACACACGTACAACACACGAACAACACACGTACAACACACGAACAACGCACGTACAACGCACGTACAACACACGTACAACACACGTACAACACACGAACAACACACGAACAACACACGTACAACACACGAACAACACACGAACAACACACGTACAACGCACGTACAACGCACGTACAACACACGTACAACACACGAACAACACACGTACAACACACGTACAACACACGAACAACACACGTACAACACACGAACAACGCACGTACAACACACGTACAACACACGTACAACGCACGTACAACGCACGTACAATGCACGAACAACACACGTACAACACACGTACAACACACGAACAATGCACGAACAACACGCGGAACCCGCAGGTGCGGTGGATGAAGCAGAATGTTCTGCTGGTCACGAGGACCAAGGGCGCCTCCTCTTCGGCGGAGGCTGTGACGAGCGGGAGGCTGTGGGTGACGAGCTCAGCGGGTGACTCGGTGCAGTCCATCGCTGTGAACCAGGCGGAAAAGGGCGACTCTGACTTCTACATCTGCGAGGTGAACTTCGAGAACAACCATCAAGCAAAGCGTCACCTCTACCTGCACGTGGCGGACGGTGAGAACGCGTGTGTGCCAGGCTAGGTGCACCCCGTGCCAGGCTAGGTGCACCTCGTGCCAGGCTAGGTGCACCATGTACCAGGCTAGGTGCACCTCGCGCCAGGCTAGGTGCACCTTGTGCCAGGCTAGGTGCACCTTGTACCAGGCTAGGTGCACCTCGTGCCAGGCTAGGTGCACCATGTACCAGGCTAGGTGCACCTCGTGCCAGGCTAGGTGGACGTTGTGCCAGGCTAGGTGCACCTCGCACCAGGCTAGGTGCACCTTGTACCAGGCTAGGTGCACCTCGCGCCAGGCTAGGTGGACGTTGTACCAGGCTAGGTGCACCTTGCACCAGGCTAGGTGCACCTAGTGCCAGGCTAGGTGCACCTCGTGCAAGGCTAGGTGGACGTTGTGCCAGGCTAGGTGCACCTCGCGCCAGGCTAGGTGCACCTTGTACCAGGCTAGGTGCACCTTGTACCAGGCTAGGTGCATCTCGCGCCAGGCTAGGTGCACCTTGTACCAGGCTAGGTGCACCGTGTGAATGTTCTCCCCGTGGTCACGTGGATTTTTCTACGGGCCCTCCACATTTATGATCAACATCCGTTTAGAACAATTTTTTTTTCCGCTGCAATAAATTTCCACACGGCGATGTCAGCCTCTTCCTCGAGCTGTATAGCTCTGTGGTCCTCGCATTGAAAAATTAAAAAGAATAGTTGACTTGTGTTCCTCTTCCTCGCACTCTCCTCCCCCTGCCTCCATCTCCTCCAACTCCCCCTCCCTGTCGCACAGACGAATGCTTCTCTGGCTCCAACGACATGGCCACTGTGGACGTGGAGATGACGCAGCCCTTGCTGCTGCATTGTCGACTCCCACCACCCTCGTGCTCATTGTTTAACGTCAAATGGTACCAGCGGGACAAACTCCTCTTGGACATTACGGCTTTGATTGTAAGAGAAGTCGTGGACGGCTTCAAAGCCTGGCCTCTGTCGAGCCGCTACTCGACCATCATGGTTCGCAACAAGGACACAAAGACGGGGATCGGCTCGGGATCCTTCTATTGGTGCCAGGTGCACACGCGCGCCGGTCTGGACTCCCGTTCCATGGTCGCTACGGTGTCTCCAGGTTCGATGATTATCGTTTTAGCATCATCATCATCATCATCGTCGTCGTCGTCATCATCATCGTCATTATCATCGTCATTGTCATCGTCATCACCATTGTCATCGTCATCACCATCGTCATCAGCATCGTGATCGTCATCACCATCGTCATCACCATCGTCATTATCATCGTCATCATCATCAGCATCGTCATCATCATCATCATCACCATCGTCATCACCACCATCATCACCATCATCACCATCGTCATCGTCATCACCATCGTCATCACCATCGTCATCATCATCAGCATCGTTATCACCATCGTCATCACCATCGTCATCATCATCGTCATCACCATCGTCATCATCAGCAGCATCGTCATCATCATCGTCATCACCATCGTCATCACCACCATCATCACCATCATCACCATCGTCATCGTCATCACCATCGTCATCACCATCGTCATCACCATCGTCATCATCACCACCACCACCACCATCATCACGACCATCATCACCACCATCATCATCACCACCATCACCATCATCATCGTCATCACCATCGTCATCATCATCGCCATCACCATCGTCATCGTCATCATCATCGTCATCACCATCATCATCACCACCATCGTCATCATCATCACTATCGTCATCATCATCACCATCGTCATCATCATCGTCATCACCATCATCATCATCACCACCATCGTCATCATCATCATCATCACTATCGTCATCATCATCACCATCGTCATCATCATCGTCATCACCATCGACATCATCATCATCGTCGGCATCACCACGATAATCATCGATCCAATATCGTTTGTTACTGTATTAGAATCAGCGTCGTGATCATTGGGATAGCATCATCATCGTACCGTATTACCATCATCATAAACAACATCATTGTCATAGCAGCAGCATCTTTAACATCGATCAACATCATGATAATCACCGCATACAGTACACCACGAATATGCCATTCATTACGATGTGTGCAGTGTGTAGATTGCACCCCCTCCAACGCTATCCATTATTGTAATCTTATAATATTGTATACTATATATTAACCATGTCATTATAATGCCATGAACAGGCGTATACCGAGTGCAGGTTCATCCCCCTCCCATCTGTTCTATCACTCTCCGCTCCACCCCCACCTCCACGGCCCCCCCCCCTTCTCATACCACACTCCATCACCCCCACCCATCCCCTCTCATCCACCACACCCCCTCCATCACCTCCACCCATCCCCTCTCATCCACCACACCCCTCCATCACCCCCACCCATCCCCTCTCATCCACCACACCCCCTCCATCACCCCCATCCATCCCCTCTCATCCACCACACCCCCTCCATCACCCCCACCCATCCCCTCTCATCCACCACACCCCTCCATCACCCCCACCCATCCCCTCTCATCCACCACACCCCCTCCATCACCCCCATCCATCCCCTCTCAATCCACCACACCCCTCCATCACCCCCACCCATCCCCTCTCATCCACCACACCCCTCCATCACCCCCACCCATCCCCTCTCATCCACCACACCCCTCCATCACCCCCACAACGTCCCCATTCCATTCACCTCCCTCACCCCCCCCCCCCCCCCCCCCACTAGGTCCAGCCTTGGTAACCTCGTGCCTAGCTGACGTCAAAGTCAATGATAGCAAGGTGTCGAAGGGCGACTCAGCCACCCTGCAGTGCCAAGCGAGTCTGCCTGAATCGTGCGTCATCTCCAGCTTCACGTGGTTCTGGGAGCAGGAGCTGCTGACCATCACCGATGAGCAAGGCACGCGGCTCGGTACAGGGCCGCGAGCAGGTGGGCGGGCGGGTGGTGGATGCGTACGCACACACAAGGCCATCATCATCGGCATCAGCACGCGGCCATCATCATAATCATCAGCGCGAGTTCATCACGATCACCACGAGGTCATGATCATTAACACGAGGTCATCAGCACCATCATCATCTTCACGAGATCATCAGCACGACGGTGATGATGATGATGCTCATGAGCAGAGAAGGTCATAGACAACCTTGACCCTACAGGTGAGCGTTTTGATCATGATCACGTGGTCACCATCGTGACCATCATCGACACTCTTTGTCATTAAACTAGTTTCATTTGCCAGGTAAGACCCACTGAGCGATGTAGCTCTTTTTCAGAAGCGACCTGCCCACGAATGATGGCTCAACGAAGTGGCTCATCACGTGGCCATTTATAGCAGCCAAATATTCTAAACGCACGTTTCTAAATGTGGAGGAGGAAACCGGAGGGCACATCGTCGAAAAATCCACGTCTACATCCACGTCCACATTTATCGTTCCTTGCTCTCGACGTTTTACGGAACGCTGCCACATTGGCCTGGCTTGTAAGTAAGCAATGATTTGTCGGCGTCAGGGACTATATCACAGGAGTATAAGATACTGCATGTCCCGCTATAATAACAATGCCACAGTATTGTACCCGATATCAATGCATTGACATATTTCAATACAAATTGTCGGGACGAGATGGACGCGGCTTCAGAACGTGTCAAGGAAACAGCGTTCATTCATCCCGAGATGCCCTGCTGATGAGTAGCCTCAGGGCACCCCCCGCATCATCAGCTATCCACATGCAGCACGGGGTGATTGCAGCGCCGACCTGCAAGTACGCATGACGTATGTATGTTGAACTTCTATCGCACTACACGTAGCCTGCAAACTAAACACAAAGAGCAGCATTAGTTTGTTAATAGGGGGCGGCGGGGGGTGGGTGGCGGGGGATGGGGGGGGAGATCGAGAAGATGCATTGTAGATTTTCACAATTAAGTAAACGCTTGAGAGGGATTCATTTGATTTGTAGCCGAGCGAGATTGGAGAGGAGAGAGGCAGAGAGGAGCGACAGACGCCATCGGCTAGCCACCCTGATGGGGATGTGAACGGGAGGTCACCGTAGACTCGGCTGATGCCTTTCTTTGGATATCCGTGTGGCCGTTGAGCGTTGGTTAGCGGTGGGGGGGGGGATGTCCCGTAGTACCCGTGTCCCGTCGTACCCGTGTACCGTAGTACCCGCGTACCGTAGTACCCGTGTACCGTAGTACCCGCGTACCGTAGTACCCGTGTACCGTAGTACCCGTGTACCGTAGTACCCGTGTCCCGTAGTACCCGTGTCCCGTAGTACTTGCGTACCATAGTACCCGTGTCCCGTAGTACCCGTGTACCGTAGTACCCGTGTACCCTACTACCCGTGTACCGTAGTACCCGTGTACCGTAGTACCCGTGTACCGTAGTACCCGTGTACCGTAGTACTTGCGTACCGTAGTACCCGTGTACCGTAGTACCCGTGTACCATAGTACTTGCATACCGTAGTACCCATGTACCGTAGTACTTGTGTACCATAGTACCCGTGTACCGTACTACCCGTGTACCGTAGTACTTGTGTACCATAGTACCCGTGTACCGTACTACCCGTGTACCATACTACCCGTGTACCGTAGTACTTGTGTACCGTACTACCCGTGTACCGTAGTACTTGTGTACCGTAGTACTTGCGTACCATAGTACCCGTGTACCCTACTACCCGTGTACCGTAGTACCCGTGTACCGGAGTACGCGTGTACCGTAGTACCCACGTACTGTAGTACTTGTGTACCATAGTACGGGTGTACCGTAGTACCCGTGTACCGTAGTACCCGCGTACCGTAGTACTTGTGTACCGTAGTACCCGTGTACCGTAGTACCCGTGTACCCTACTACCCGTGTACCGTAGTACGCGTGTACCGTAGTACCTGTGTACCGTAGTACTTGTGTACCGTAGTACCCGTGTACCTTAGTACCCGTGTACCGTAGTACTTGCGTACCGTAGTACCCGTGTACCCTACTACCCGTGTACCGTAGTACCCGTGTACCGGAGTACGCGTGTACCGTAGTACCCGCGTACCGTAGTACTTGTGTACCGTAGTACGGGTGTACCGTAGTACCCGTGTACCGTAGTACCCGTGTACCCTACTACCCGTGTACCATAGTACTTGTGTACCATAGTACCCGCGTACCGTAGTGCATGGGGCGCCGCGGATGGCGAGATATAACCTCCGATTAGGACGGTTTCCTGTGTACGGTGCGAAAGAAGTTCAACATACACACACTTGGTTTAACACGTAGGCTTTCGCGACCAATATTATTCAGCCCTACATCGGTAAGACATCTTCATTCATAAAAAATTCAGAACATCTTGTGAATGTGATTAAAGATATTAAACTTACTCCTGATGATATTCTGGTAAGTTTTGATGTGATTTCTCTATTCACTAAGGTTCCAGTGGACGAATCGCTTAAATTACTTGATACACTAGTAAAGAATACCGGTTTACAAAAATATATTCCGAAACTTGCTGGCCATTGTTTAAATAACACTTACTTCTTATGGAGAGGGGATTTCTTTAAACAAAAGGAAGGAGCAGCAATGGGTTCTCCTTTATCCCCTGCTATAGCAAATTTGTACATGGAAAACTTTGAAATAAAAGCACTTGCCTCGAGCACATTAAAACCATCCTTTTGGTTTAGGTATGTGGATGACACTTTGGTTGTCTGGCCACATGGTAAAGATACACTTAATGATTTTCTAAATCATCTCAATGCACAAAACCCGGCCATCCAGTTCACCATGGAAATGGAGGTGAATAACACACTCCCATTCCTAGATATTTTGCTTGGACATGGCCTAAACGGTAAAATAACACACAGCGTTTACAGAAAGCAAACGCACACTGATGCCTATCTGAATGCAGAATCACATCATCATCCAGCTCAAAAATCCTCTCTTATCAAGACGCTCGTACATCGGGCGAAAACAGTGTCAGATGGTGAGAGTCTAGTGAGAGAGATTAAACACGTTAAAGACGCACTACGACAGAATGGCTACACTAATGCTCAAATTAACAGAGCACTGAATGCCAAATCACGATCGCAAAGCAATACTACTGAAAGCGACCAGATTGTTAAAACAATAAAAATTCCATATATCTCAGGAGTAACTGACAAATTAGCCCGTGTTCTGCAAAAGCAAAACATTACAGTAAGATTTGGTACAGTACACAAAATTCAAAAACTAGTATCTTGCACTAAAGATGCATTACCTGAACTATCAACAGAAGGTGTATATCGGATTAATTGTTCATGTGGCAGCTGCTACATTGGGCAGACGGGACGTAACATCAGCGTAAGACTAAAAGAACATCAGAGAAATATTAAATTATCTCAAACACAACTGTCGGCAGTGGCAGAACATGCTTGTCAACAAGGACACTCAATTGATTTTGACAATGTTGCAGTGGTGTGTAAAACGAATTATTACTGGCAAAGACTAATTAGAGAATCCATTGAAATTGAGAGGAACAAGAATAACTTTAATCGCTCTGACAGCTACCGGCTTAGTGCGGCCTGGAAGCGTATTATTAAATAATACACATTACATTTAAAGAATTACTAATCTACAACTCATTACTAATCATAACCAATGACTGATTACTAATCGATTATATAATTACAATACCCCGCCCTCCGCCTCTAATCACTGCACCTGATGAGTTAAGTGATGACGTCACCCTGCTGCTCTATATAAAAACCGGGAGCAAGCGAGGGCTTTACCATTCTGGCGAATTGCTTGATGATGCTGGATGTATTTACCAGCGAAACGTCGTACTCAAACTGTAAATGTGGATTAACTCTTCAACACACCGGTGGGCTGAAGTAGTGAATTATTTGTCTTTTGTCAACGTGACACTTTTTTTTGCTGATTGGCCGTGTCGGGTGGTGGAGGGTTACGACACATTTATAAATAAACGCGATCTAACCCAAAAACCTTTATTATGAATACACACACTTGACCCGCTCCTGGTGTGCAGGAGGTCGTGCGTGGGTCCTGACGCTTACAACGCAGTTCCCTCTCCGCGTTGAGAATCAAAGGCACGCGTTTAGATTATTTTGCTGCTGCTAAACATCTCCACATGACGGTGAGCCACTTTGGCCCAGCTATCGTTTGTGGCCAGGTCGCGTCTGAAAAAGAAGCTCATGGGCTCAGTGGCCCATATTCTTGGTTCTTTCGGTAAAGTCACGTTGAAGGGAAACAATATATATTGTATTCTTAGCTCTTTCGGTAAAGTCACGTTGAAGGGAAACAATAAAATAATAAAATATATATTAAACAATAAAAATTCTCACGACGTTTCGACCATAACACAAACGGTCATCATCAGGTGTGTTATGGTCGAAACGTCGTGAGAATTTATATTGTTTTATATATATTTTATTATTTTATTGTTTCCCTTCAACGTGACTTTACCGAAAGAGCTAAGAATATGAATTACTGCAGTCACGAAAGCTTTAAATCAAAATATATTGTTTTATATATATTTTATTATGTTATTGTTTCCCTTCAACGTGACTTTACCGATAGAACCGAGAATGTGAATTACTGGCAGTCGCGAAAGCTTTAAATCAAAATTTGGCTTCAGTGGCCCTTAACTGGTAAATACCCCCCGAAAAATGTTGATTCAGTTTTAGCGTCTCGTTTGCAATTTTTGCCCGCGCCGGGATCCAGCGAAGTTCACGCCGTGGACCGCGATGTCTCGCGTGCAGCCAGGGCACAGACGAAGCTCTCAGGCACCAGGTCGGAGCTCAAGTTGAGTGAAGTGACGGCGGATGATGGAGGCGTCTACCGCTGCCGCGTCGATCTGCACAACGGCAGCTACAGCGGCGCGGCCTTCCTCGAAGTGCTGGAGTGTGAGTGGAGAGGCCTCACTGACACCCTCCACGCTCTCACTCACTCGCACTCGCTCGCATTGACACTCGCATTGACACTCACTCGCATTGACACTCACTCACTCGCATGGTCACTCACTCGCATTGACACTCGCATTGACACTCACTCGCATTGACACTCACTCGCATTGTCACTCACTCGCATTGACACTCACTCGCATTGACACTCGCATTGACACTCACTCGCATTGACACTCGCATTGACACTCACTCACTCGCATTGACACTCACTCACTCGCATTGACACTCACTCACTCGCATTGACACTCGCATTGACACTCACTCGCATTGACACTCGCATTGACACTCACTCGCATTGACACTCACTCGCATTGACACTCGCATTGACACTCGCATTGACACTCACTTGCATTGTCACTCACTCGCATTGACACTCGCATTGGCACTCACATTGACACTCGCATTGACACTCGCATTGACACTCACTTGCATTGTCACTCACTCGCATTGACACTCGCATTGACACTCACTCACTCGCATTGACACTCACTCACTCGCATTGACACTCACTCGCATTGTCACTCACTCGCATTGACACTCACTCGCATTGACACTCACTCGCATTGGCACTCGAATTGACACTCGCATTGACACTCGCATTGTCACTCACTCGCATTGACACTCACACTACAGAGCAGGAGTGGAAGATGGCAGCCTTCACGCGGTCCATGCTGTTGTTAAGTGAGAAATCACGACGAACGGCCATGAACGCAGCGACCGATCATGGACCATCGATCTCTCGGTCTCCCGACCAACAACGACACGAGCCCCCCACCCCCCCTTCAGGGCCAAACAACGACGCGCCGGTTAGGCCCCAGGCCAAGAGGCCCCCCCAACTGAACATTGAGGAAGACTCTCCCGGGCGCAGTGCGAGTCCCTCGTCCCGAGTCGTCCCTCTGTGCGAGCGTGCTGCGCGCAGGGCCCGTGGCCACTCCGACGGTGACCGCCGACCCCGACTTCGCCGTGGCGGTGGAGGGATCCCGCATCGTGCTGCGGTGCCGCGAGGTGAACGGCTCCCTCCCCGTGGCGTTCTCGTGGATGCGGGCGGCTCCCGAGGCCGGGCCGGGCACCGGGGCGGCCCCCGATGAGGCGCTGCCGGGCGAGGACTCGGACACCTTGGTGCTCACGTGGAGCGAGCAGAGCGGCTACTACCGGTGTCGGGCGAGCAACCTGGTCAGAGGAGTCCGCAACAACGCGACGAGCCTCGCCTTCGAAGTGCGGCTGCTGCCCATGCCTGGTGAGTTCGTCCGTGCAGTCAACTCACCTAGACTCACCTAGACTCACCTAGCCTCACCTAGACTCACCGAGCCTCACCTAGACTCACCTAGCCTCACCTAGACTCACCTAGCCTCACCTAGACTCACCTAGACTCACCTAGCCTCACCTAGCCTCACCTAGACTCACCTAGTCTCACCTAGACTCACGTAGCCTCACCTAGACTCACCTAGCCTCACCTAAACTCACGTAGCCTCACCTAGACTCACCTAGCCTCACCTAGACTCACCTAGACTCACCTAGCCTCACCTAGACTCACCGAGCCTCACCTAGACTCACCTAGCCTCACCTAGACTCACCTAGCCTCACCTAGACTCACCTAGACTCACCTAGCCTCACCTAGACTCACCTAGACTCACCTAGACTCACCTAGCCTCACCTAGACTCACCTAGCCTCACCTAGACTCACCTAGACTCACCTAGCCTCACCTAGACTCACCTAGACTCACCACACCTCACCTAGACTCACCTAGCCTCACCTAGCCTCACCGAGCCTCACCTAGCCTCACCTAGACTCACGTAGCCTCACCTAGACTCACCGAGCCTCACCTAGACTCACGTAGCCTCACGTAGCCTCACCTAGACTCACCTATAGCCTCACCTAGACTCACCTAGACTCACCACGCCTCACCTAGACTCACCTAGACTCACCACGCCTCACCTAGACTCACCTAGCCTCACCTAGACTCACCTAGACTCACCTAGACTCACCTAGACTCATGTAGCCTCACCTAGACTCACCTAGCCTCACCTAGACTCACCTAGACTCACGTAGCCTCACCTAGACTCACTTAGCCTCACCTTGCCTCACCTAGACTCACCACGCCTCACCTAGACTCACCTAGCCTCACGTAGCCTCACCTAGACTCACCTAGACTCACCGAGCCTCACCTAGACTCACCTAGCCTCACCTAGACTCACCTAGCCTCACCTAGACTCACCGAGCCTCACCTAGACTCACCTAGCCTCACCTAGACTCACATAGCCTCACCTAGACTCACCTAGCCTCACCTAGACTCACCTAGCCTCACCTAGACTCACCTAGCCTCACCTAGACTCACCTAGACTCACCACGCCTCACCTAGACTCACCTAGCCTCACCTAGACTCACCTAGCCTCACCTAGACTCACCTAGCCTCACCTAGACTCACGTAGCCTCACCTAGCTTCACCTAGCCTCACCTAGACTCACCTAGCCTCACCTAGCCTCACCTAGACTCACCTAGCCTCACCTAGCCTCACGTAGCCTCACCTAGACTCACCTAGCCTGACCTAGACTCACCACGCCTCACCACGCCTCACCTAGACTCACCTAGCCTCACCTAGACTAACCTAGACTCACCACGCCTCACCTAGACTGACCTAGACTCACCTAGCCTCACCTAGACTCACGTAGCCTCACCTAGCCTCACCTAGACTCAGCTAGACTCACCACGCCTCACCACGCCTCACCTAGACTCACCTAGCCTCACCTAGACTCACCTAGTCTCACCACGCCTAACCTAGCCTCACCTAGCCTCACCTAGACTCACCACGCCTCACTTAGACTTACCTAGACTCACCTAGCCTCACCTAGCCTCACCTAGACTCACCTAGCCTCACCTAGACTCACCACGCCTCTCCACGCCTAACCTAGACTCACCTAGCCTCACCTAGACTCACCTAGCCTCACCTAGACTCACCTAGCCTCACCTAGCCTCACCTAGACTCACCTAGCCTCACCTAGTCTCACCACGCCTAACCTAGCCTCACCTAGCCTCACCTAGACTCACCACGCCTCACTTAGACTTACCTAGACTCACCTAGCCTCACCTAGCCTCACCTAGACTCACCTAGCCTCACCTAGACTCACCTAGACTCACCACGCCTCTCCACGCCTAACCTAGACTCACCTAGCCTCACCTAGACTCACCTAGCCTCACCTAGCCTCACCTAGCCTCACCTAGACTCACCTAGCCTCACCTAGACTCACCACGCCTCTCCACGCCTAACCTAGACTCACCTAGACTCACCTAGCCTCACCTAGCCTCACCTAGACTCACCTAGCCTCACCTAGACTCACCACGCCTAACCTAGCCTCACCTAGACTCACCACGCCTCCGTGAGCTATTATGATAAACATTTTTATTTTTTATTTTACTTTACCAGTGAAGACCCACGGAGCTTACTTTCTCAGACGCTACCCGGCCACCACAAATGATAGCTCAACGAAGTGGTGTATACATTTTGATTTAAAGCTTTCGTGACTGCAGTAATTCATATTCTTAGCTCTTTCGGTAAAGTCACGGTGAAGGGAAACAATAAAATAATATATTTTTTAAATATTTTTTTTATTATTTTATTCACATTCTTAGCTCTTTCGGTAAAGTCACGTTGAAGGGAAACAATAAAACAATATTATTTTATTATTTTATTGTTTCTTTCGGTAAAGTCACGTTGAAGGGAAACAATAAAATAATATATATTTTAATTATTTTATTGTTTCCCTTCAACGTGACTTTAACGAAAGAGCTAAGAATACGAAGTGGTGTACAGTTTGGGAATTTAAAGCAGCCAAAGACTTTGAAGGCGTGATGTTGATTCTTAACGTCGAGGGAGAAAAACCGTAGGAGCCGCAAACACAATCCGCGTGACCACGGGGAGAGAGACAGTTCATAGTTTCATAGTTTCCATTTATTTGGGTATAGCCCTGTGAGCCATTCGGCTCTTGAATCGGCTGCAACCGCGACAAACAAAACAAAAGCATGAACAAGAAAACCCATCTTCAAGTGATTACGTGTGACTGTGCAAATAGAAAATCCAGGTAGAGAAAGAAAAACATCAAAATCATCAAAATATTCCTGACAGAGAGAGAGAGAGTGGCGGAGGCTCCAAATATACAGCAGCAGGCGTCGTGGTCGGGATCGAAGCCACGTCCTCCTGCACACCAGACGAGGAAGATTGCGCCTCACCACAGTGACACCCTCACCACGACTCACCACGACTCACTAACGCACACGCGAGCGTGCACACGCGCTGGGCTACTCTGCTTTGTCCCGTCGTGGTCGCAGGTCGACTGCGGCCTGTCGATTCCCTGTGATGACCTTCGGCCGCAGAAGCATGTCACACCGTGCACCATTGCGTATTTGTTTACGTGTCGGTACGATAGTCACCACAGACTAACATCGCACGTAGACTTGCATTGCACGTAGACTAGCGTTGATAATTGGTGTTTCACCCTGTTATCTTCCAACAAAACTGACACATTTTTTTTTGACAAGGAGTTATGTTTGAAATTGACCACAATACCTGGGGTCGGAATGCAAACAAAAAAACATAACTCTGATAATGTATTGGCACTGTCCTTGAAGTTGATTGGTCCACACCCGAGACAGCTTTCTTTAGAGCCTAGTCTCACGTGGCGTCATCTGGTCCAACACCAGATGACGTCATCTGGTCCAACACCACGTGACACGAGGCTCTAAGGAAAGCTGTCTCGGGTGTGGACCAATCAATTTCAAGGACAGTGCCAATACATTATCAGAGTTGTGTTTTATATTTGCATTAAA